ACAGGGTATTATGTCTTTGTGCATATGTTTGTAACAGGCAAAAGGAAACGAGATAGGCACATGGTTCCTTTTGAGAATATGCATAGAATCACTTTCTAAGTCGATGTATGCATGTCCGTCCGCCTGTCTGTCCATGTTAAATTGTAAACAAAGTACAGGTCGCATTTATGATCCGAATTGGATGAAAGTTGGTACAGGGCGCTTATTTGGCCCAAGGACGAACCCTATTGAAATTGGGAAAAATCGGTTCAGATTTAGATATAGCTCCCATATATAGATTCGTCCGATTTTCAGTAAATGGTGCACCAATGTCCCTATATATACCATTCTATTTGCACGAAATTTGGCACAGCGTATTGAATTAAGTCTAGAATGATTTGTGCAAAGTTTCGTGAAAATCGGTTCACATTAAGATATAGCTCCCATATATATTTTCGTCCGATTTAATGTAAATGCTGCACCAATGTCCATATATATCATTCGATTTGCACGAAATTTGGCGTATCGTACTGAATTGAGTCTAGAATGATGTGTGCAAAGTTTCGTGAAAATCCGTTCACATTTAGATATAGCTCCCATATATATTTTCGTCCGATTTTATGTAAATGGTGCACCAATGTCCCTATATTTGCACGAAATTTGGCATATCGTACAGAATCGAGCCTAGAATGATGTGTGCAAAGTTTCGTGAAAATCGGTTCAGATTTAGATATTGCTCCCATATATATTTTCGTGCGATTTTATGTAAATGGTGCACCAAAGGCCCTATATATTCTTCGATTTGCACGAAATTTGGATTTATAAGTAAATGTAGAACTCAAAATGTGGCCGAATGCACAAAACTGAAATAAGTGTAACCTAACATGTGACAAGTTTGAATGAAATCGGTTTAGATTTCGATATCTTGCTTTAATTTTTTTAACATAATATTGTCCCATTGTACAAAGCAACTCTATATCTGACCAAAATTTCGTATAGGTTGCAGAATGACATGTTTAATTTCATGTTAATGGTCCTCCAAAAATCCGACATCTGTTAGGATTCCATCTGATGAATATACCTAAAGTGGTGAAGGGTATCATATAGTCGGCCCGTCCGCTTTTACTACTTTCCTTACTGGTTTAAATTATTTTTTAGTAAACTGGTCGATTTTTTAAAAATATTCTCTCATGGAGAATCAGAGCAAAGGCTTTCTTTCTTTTTATTATGGTGGTGCTTTAAAAAATATTTTTTTCGTGGACTATCAATTCGTGGTTATTTTATTATATTAAAAACGTCGTGCTCATTTATGTACATACTCAAGTTTATTAAAAAATTCATAGTTACATATAGAAATGTACATAATATACATATTGATTTGAATGTAAATTATATTTTATGAAAAATGATAAAAAACGAAATATGAAACCAGTTCACATAAATCCTGTAATAAAACCATATTTCTCCTTTAAATGTTCTTTCATATAGAATTCTGCATACCAACGTTCGATAAAGTCATCCATATCCCATGAAATGCGATCATGTAAATCATCAAATTTATCGTATGTCATTAATATATCCGTAGTATAGTTTTTACCCAACAATGGATTGTAAATCATTATCGTATACATTTTTGATACGGCATCAACGGAATGATTTTGCTCATAATGACTCAAAATATAGAATAATACTTGAGCAAATTTACGCTTATAGGCTCGGGAATATTTCGATGTGACTACTTGACAAAAAACCCGATCATCAAATACATAATCCGGCATTCCACTTAAAATAAATGCATCAAATTCAAATTCACATGGTAGTTTATATGTGAAATTCTTGAATGGCAGCTGATTGAAGTATTTCACCACTTCCTTTAGGTTTTGATAGTTGACCGTATAGTTATTCAATGCCAGCTCAGCTTTTTCATCGAAATTATGACTATGTGTCAGAGCAACTAATTTAATTTCATCAATAATATTTATGGCTTTTTCCTCGGGATCCGTATAAGCAGCATAGGCATTACAAAGTTGTTGTTTTAAAAAGAAATCTTTAAAATGATGTTTATTCAAAAATTTTTTGGCTCGTTCATCCTTGCAGTCAGTGCCAAAACGTTTGCAGAGACATTTTCTAATGAACAGTTCCATAAATATGCCATTTTCCATATATAAATTGAAATCGCAAACCGAGTCATCATACTCGTAGCTGTTGCCCACAGTTTCAATAGTCCATTGCATCTCACGATGCATACGTTTATATTCAGGATATTTTTTTAGGAAATCCGTTACAGAAATGGTATCCATTGTTGGGCTACTGTAATTAGAAAAAGGAGATTGAGAAGATTTAGTGGAAATATATAATTTATTTAATAAATGTAATATTTTTGGATTTTTAAATATTATTTTATATGAATTAGGTCATGGATTTTTATGAATATCCTTTTATTGACGTTCGATTCCATGGATATTTATACATCAACCGGCCCTATCAAGTGTGCATTTTTTCAAAAATATTTTTTTATAAATTATCAGAAAGTGTTTTTTAAATGATATTTTTATGATTTATTTCAAAATATTTTTCAGGGGCTATCTTCTATTTTTTAAATATGTATTTTTATTATGAACTATTTAATCCGAATTTTGTATATTTTTTAGGTCTTAGATTTTGTATTTTATCTTCACAACCGTCCTTTGTTTCCAATATAGGAATCAATATGAATTGATAAAAGACCTGATTACAAAAATTCAGTTGTTTTGTATACGCGACGGAATTTCGTTTTGAAAATAATAGTTTTTGTGGGTGGACGACATTTGACTTCTCCATGAACTGTCCTACAAATTTGTTCTGCAACATGACTACTGCCCATTGTCTACATACTGCCTGACTGACTAATCCTGCTGCCTTCATAATTGATAGAATTGCTTTAGCTGCATCATATGCTATTGTAATGTTATGTACATAGCCATTTCCTTTGTTCCTAAGAACTATTAAAAAACCGATACATAAAAAAATAAACAATGAAAACAAAATATTAAATTACACAAACTCAACATAAAAATTCTGAATATGACCAGCTTCAAAAGGCGACGAGAAAAATTTTATTGCCATCTGTATAGCAGCACAGTCGGCGTCAAATGTCTGCGCGCACAAGTAAATATTTTAAAGATACAAATTTAAGATTTTAAAATATCTAGTACTATGGAAAATATTTAACATTTATTCATATTTATTTTCTTTCAAATTTGGTTATTCAATATCACTTTGATTTGATTACTGGCAAAATAATCATCACTTATTAAAATAACACAGTATGAATTCTAATTAGACTGCCGCAGTAAAACTGTTTGATGTGTGTGTATGTTTTGTATACAAACAAATAATTTCGTATTCCGAGCATAACGCCGTTTTTTAAAACACCAATTTATAAACATATTGTACAATATTAATATTTCAAATCAATATTTACCACAGATAAAAATCAATATCGAATTTAAATCGGAAATCTTCCTCACACTTTCAGAACGATCAACTAACAATGCTGAAATCCTAGAAAGAACTAAATAACACCGCACTCCAAACATGACATAAACACAACAACACCAAACATAATACCAAATGCATGAAGAGAGGGCAGTGGGAGCGATACAGTTATTCATAATGGCAATTCAAGTGAGAAATGGAAATTCTCTCTCGTATTATTTTTACAGTCGAACATGGTTATGACACATTTCTTGTTTGTTCATGATGCTGTTGGAGCTCGTTATGATTTGTTTTGGATCAATAATTTTAATGCACTTATCGCGTACATTAAGTAATCAGTTTTTAATAAAACAACTTTAGGATCAATAAAAAGTGTCAGTCGGTATTGCCGACAGATGTACAGTAGCGTGCAAATTAATAGCAGTTCAGTACTGATTCTTAATATATGCGCTATATTTTTCAAAATAATGTTAACAGTTGATTTCTTTCTACATTTTTTAAATCGCTATTTTGCTGCATACTTTATGCTATTGCTATTTAAAGTATGAAAATAATCTGAAAAAAATTGAAAATGATCTCTAACGCTATAAAATGGTCTCCCAAACCAGAAACGCGTGGGCGAAAAAGAAAAATCTCTCAATTTGATGAAAAAATAATCTTAAGAAAAGTCCGAGATTAGCCCAAATCATCTGCTACGGAATTGAAACAAAAATTTAACCTTGAGTTCATGCATGTACAATCAGGAGACTCTTGCTGCATCACAATTTGTATTGCATATGACATATATGCAATGAAATTGACAATTAAAACCCACTGGGTTAACGAAAACGGATACAATGTAAACGTACTATTATGATGTGCAAAGTTTGAACTCCCTTTGAGAGTTATCGTGTGCACCAGCCAGGCAGACGGACGCGTGGATTGTTTAAACTCCCAATGTTTTATTAAAACAATTACAATTCGTTCAAATAAGCCATTGCATATTTAAAAAAAAATCGTTAAAAAAATGGTTTTCCCATAATTTAACGCCGTCCAAAAAAATCCCACTACGTTGTATTCTTGCATCCTGCAAAAACAGTGGCAACACAAATCGAACGCCATCACATATTATCGATAACAAACAAACAGCTGTTTCTCTAGTAGACCAACACCAACACAAACAGTTACTGCACAGGTGGCAACAACACAATCAATCACTATCATTCATAGACGATACAAAAACAAAACATCTGTGAATTTTTTTAGCTCTGTAGGGGTGTTGGGCAGTGTTTGCATTGTTTTTTGTGTCTATAGTTGGTTTTGTTCGTCGAATTTTGTAGTTATAATAAGCAAAGATTATTTCGTTGAGATATAAGAAAAAAAGTGTCTGTGTGTACAATTGCGATGCGATAAAAATAAACAAGGAGTGGTGTAAATAAAGAAAACGTGGATTTAAATAAATTTGCCTTCAAAAAAAGTGTTATTTTTTGTGTAACAAAGGTAGCATAACAAGTCCTACCGAGTTTTTTGTTTGTTGGTGGAAACAAAAGCTGCTGGACGGACAATATGGTGTCCCTCGAATTGAGTGTATTGACCTTAAACGTGTGGTAAGTGGGAAGAATATTAATTAAACACAATAACAACATCAACAAACAAAACTATGTTTGCAAATCATAGTATATTTTATTGTGTTTGGATAGTAAAACCTAATAGGGAAACTGTGATATTTTTTTTATTTTGAACTGTATATTATTGAAGGTCAATTAAGTTGATTTTTGTTGTTGCTGTTCCTGTTTCTACTTTTTAGGGGTATACCTTTTGTCTCCGCCGATCGTGCTGAACGTATGCAACATATTGGCAAAGAATTGAGCAGCGGCAAATATGATATTGTATCACTGCAGGAGGTATGGACAGAAAAGGATAGCATGCTCTTACAGGAATTAACAAAAGCAATATTGCCTTATGCTCATTATTTTTATAGGTAATTTATGAGATGAATTTATTTAATTTTTTGAAATAATTTTAATTGTTTTATTCTATTATTAGTGGTGTTATTGGTGCTGGTCTATTGGTCTTATCAAAATATCCCATAGTTAGTACACTTTTCCATTCATGGACCGTGAATGGTTATTGCCATCGCATCCAACATGCCGATTGGTTTGGCGGCAAGGGTGTTGGCATGTGCAGAATACGTGTCGGCGATCGTTATGTACATTTGTATAATGCTCATGTAAGTAAATAATTTGTATGATTTATTAATTAGAAACAAAAATTATCTCTTTGCGGCGTATCTAGTTGTTGTGATATACAGTGGAACTTTTCTTCGATGGGATAAGAAATTGAAAATTATATACAAAGATATAAGCACTCTGTCCATACCTTTTATAGTATACATATATATTTATGGTTTGGAGTCAATGTCCAGTATTAAAAGAACATAATTTATTCAAAATGTACGTACTACTTCAATAACTTCCTATGAAATTTTGCAAGGTTTTTATCACAAAATCTGTGGTGTCCCTTTAAAAGAACGAGGCCCAAATATTTTTTTAATAATCCTCCCACTTTTGAGCATTAACAATAATGAATCACTCTTACATAGCGCAATCTCCCGAATCTCAGGAACATTTTCCATTTATATCTTAAATTTGTTTCAAACTCTAAACATTGTTATGGTTCCTACGGCCCCCTGTTTCATAGAGAGGTAAATTCTACCAAATACAGTCGATTTTATTAATTAAAATTGGTAATTGCTTAGATTTTGAATAATTTGAAATTGCAGGGAATTATTAAATTTGTACGATTTTCCATTTGAAATATCAAAACTTTTTTTAATGACCAACAGGTGTTATCGGCATAAATGAGAAGATTCAAGGGGTACCTTAAGGTGTTGTCTTTTTTTTACAAATATGAGTATTGAATATGTGAATTTAAATACTGCTTTTGTTCCGCATATTTAAATAAATAAAATCAATTGTCCTATCAATTTATTCGCAATAATGTATATAATTTATATTCATAATAGCAGCAGAGACATTCAAACAAAATTGCCTTTCTTGTCTGCATACATAATATAATTTAAAAAAATCAATATTTGACTTTATCTCTTCAATTTTTGCTCAACCTTGTCTCTTTCTCTCTGATGTTATTCTCAGCGCAAATATAATGAAATGAAATGGGTTCAAGGAAGTAAAGCGCTGATACAAATGTGGATTAAAATCAAACTTGATTAAACTAGTCTATAACATTTGTCTCAAACATTACCCAAAATTTGCACAACAATAATATATGCACATAATTCTCAAAAGTCAAAAACAAAAGCGTGTGCGGGGTGTTTATAATTTAATTGAAAACTATAAAATTTGTTGTTGTTGGTAATAGTTGTCGTGTGTGTGTGTTTGTGGATTTCAAACTATAAATAAACACGCATAAAATATTCGCAACTATAATGAAGTCTATGTGTTTTTTAAGATTTTTTTTTTGTTGCTGTTAATGTACAGTAACACTTGCAGACATAGCACTTCAAGCATTGATAAGAATTATAAATGTAAACATATATATTTTAAAAACTGTTGCTAACCTTTAGTCGTTGTCGTCGTCGTTGTATGTGTATGTTGTATTGAAAAGGGGAAAAAATACTCCACATACTCCAGCTGGCACGTTTTCGCAACATAGATTACAAATATCATGATTTTTGCCAATTTTTTTTAATCAATGTTTCCTGTTTTTGTTTCATATTAAATTTGAATTTTCTATATAGCATTCACAGATAAGATTATTGGTAGATGGTGGGACTTAGATAAATTTGAAGAAAGTTTTTTTTTTAAATGGAAGAAAATGATTATATTTGTATACCGTTCACTATAAGAAGGAAAGAAGGAATGGAATATAATTTTTTTTTTTTCAAATGTAGGACCTCGAAGTATTAGGTTGGGTAAAAAGAAATCCATTATGAAAATGTCTATAAAATCGGAGAAATTATGGAAGTTGACCGGCATGTTAGCAATCGTAACATCGCCCGGGAGCTAAAAATCGACTATAAAACTGTTTTAAACCATTTACACAAAGCTGGATTCAAAAAGAAGCTCGATGTTTGGGTGCCACACCAATTAACAGAAAAAATAGGATGGATCGAATTGTCATCTGCGAAGGAATGGAATGAGATGGTCCCATTTCTAAAACGGATGCTGACTGGAAATGAGAAATGGGTCACATAAGATAACCCTGTGCGTAAACGATCGTGGTCAAAGAGCGGTGAAGCACCTCAAACGGTGACCAAACCAGGACTAACGGTCAGGAAGATTCTGCTTTGCATTTGGTGGGACTGGAAGGGGATTATTTATTATGAGTTGTTTCCCTATGGCCAAACGCTAAATTCTGATCTCTGCTGTCAACAACTGGACCGTTTGAAGATAGCAATTGACCAGAAACGGCCAGAATTGGCCAACAGGAGAGGTTTTGTGTTCCACCAAGTGACTCGCCAGAAACTTCGGGAGCTTGGTTGGGAAGTTTTAATGCATCCGCCATACAGTCTGGACTTTGCACCAAGCGATTATCATATTTTTCATGCATTGGGAAATTTCTTTAATGATTTAAAATTTATATCTAGGGAGGATTGTGAAAATCGAATACTAGAGTTTTTTTGCAAATAGAGATCAGGACTTCTATGAGAGAGGCATTATGAAGTTGCCGTTAAAATGGCAACAAATCATACAACAGTGCATGATAAGGAAACCTTGTTGACCTCTTACAAAGCGATAGGTCCGTCCGTGGCAAGATATGCGGTTCCAGCGTGGTCTGCGAACTCTAATGGAGAAGTATTTACACCTGTAAGAACGCCGCCCTGAGGACTTCGACATGGTGCCACCTCATGACACCAGTGGACCACCTTCATGAGGAGACGAAGATCCTTCTCTTACGTCACTATAGCAATATACTTTCGTTGAAGTACCTGCTCGATTAATTCAGGGACAATCATCCTAACCATCATTTGGTTGATAAGAATCCCCCACCGAGGCGTGTCAGGAAGGATCTATATGATCTAGAGAGAGAGAGGTTCAACATTACAAAAGGGAGCCTCTACATCAAGTTGCCCATCGAGCAGATCTGAATAGCATTCATATTGATGCAGTAGCCACAGCGCTGAACGGATACAAATTGAATGCCGTCATCGGAGCTCACCCATAGCAGCTGAAGAACGTCAGCTGCCCAGACAAACCAGAGTAGTTTTGGCCCGATTACGTTCAGCATGTATTGGACACGGATTGATGTGCATGATGTCTGCCCAGCATGTGGCACGGGACCTCAAACCTGACTGCACTTATCCAAATCTACTCATCTTACACCTGAAGTAGTTGCATTTCTTAATTTGGAGACAGAACCAGATGGAATTTAAACCGGAAAAATATATTCATATAAACTGCTACAACAACACAAAACGGTGCATATTTGGACATTCCGAAGCATGTTAAATAAAGTTGTATAGTTCATATATAATAATTCGTTCCACATTTTATTCTGTAATTTATTTTAGAATATGGATAAATGATCTCCTCACAGGGAGTCCCAGTTTTGATGTAATCTTCCAGTCCCGCTTTCGATTTGGAATCAAAATAGGTTGACTAAGGCAGGAAACGTTGGCTAGGCTATTATTACAGGGCTGATGCCGAGGAATCTCTTCCGAACTTGTTCTCAGAACTTTTTTGGTCATTTTACGCATAACACCAACGTTAATGAGGAGTCTGCTGAATTCCATAGGAAAACAGTTAATTATATTAAATCTAGATAATTTATTGGGTCCAGCCATAGTCTGGTACTAACAACTTCTGAAGACTAGTGTCATTTTTTTTAAATCTTCAATGTATCACCTATATTTTATAACTAATTAATAATAATTGTACTAATTTTCACATACTTTAATTTTAGTGAATCAGTAATATTTAATTAATTTAATCGAATTTCCCTTTTTCCAATACCCCTTCTCTAGCTGGGGACTAAGATTGAGAAATTTGTTGGCACTGTGCCCGCTAATCAGGAAAAGAAATGTTTTTTCTTGATTGATCAATTTTTTTTATACAATGTTTCATATTTTTTGGCATCCTCAGATGAAGATCGTTTATTTACTCTCCCCCAACAACAACGACAGAACTATTTTTATAATCGTTCGGTCAATGACCCGGCTGTATAAACAATAGAACATTTGTATTTGTTTAAAAATGCACAAGTTTTATCGCCACCATTAATGGTTTGATAATGAACAGTGGGACCTAATTTAAAGCCTAATATGATATAACATTTAATTATTTTTAAAACAATAATAGAAGCGGAAACATTTTCTACCTTTCCCCGAAGGGTTCTATGATCAAAAATCTTACGGATAGGTTTTGGAAAAATAAAAAAATACATCGAATATCGTAAATTTTGAATAACCGTGAATCTAGAATATTAATAGAAATGCGATAAAGATCACAGACACATTTTAATTTTTTAGATTTTTCCTGGACGGACATAACCAAATTTTTACTTGTTCTTAGTATATTATACTTGAAATATACTAATTGAAATTATTTCACCTTTTTTTTGCAGTTACACGCCGAATACAATATAAATAATGATGATTACAAGACACATCGTGTTATACAGGCATTTGATACAGCTCAATTTATTGAGGCAACACGTTGGGATTCGGCTGTACAAATATTAGCCGGTGATTTGAATACAAAACCAAAAGACATTTCATACAAGTAAGTAAATCTCAATCCTATCCTCTATTTCCCTTCTCAATATTATACACATTTTTTAATTTCTCTCTTCCTTCCAGAGTTCTCTTGCATACATCCGACATGAAAGATACCTGTAATTCCGAAACGGTAACAACAAATGAATGCAAACACAATTCGTATACACCGAAAAAAGTGCTGGCCAAAAATCCCAATGGCTATCGCATCGATCATATCTTTGTACGCAGTTCGGATTCTGTGAAAACGGAAATATTGGAATATTTATTACCTTTACCACATCGTGTGCCTGGACAAAAATATAGCTACTCTGATCATGAGGCTGTGCAAGTACGTCTTCTATTGAGACCGAAAGTAAACAACGATAACGACGAGGAGACATGTTCGGTTAGACATGTCGAAGCGTCTGTAGAATCTGAAAATGGTAGTATGCACGATGTACAATTGACACCACCGCATACACCGACACTTAATGGAAAATCTCACTCCAACGGTCATATTGAGGAGGAATGTGTCGCTGATAAAACACCCATTAAGATCTCGGTTATAAAAGAATCCATTGAGCTGTGTGAAGAACATTTGAACAAATTGAAAACCGATAGGGTTGTGTATTTTACAATATCATTTATTCTGTTGGCTGCTCTAATCCTCATGGCAGAATTTCCCGTACCGCATGGCTATAAAACACTTTATTTGTTGCTCAAACTTTTGGTATTCGGTGTGATTATGTTCTGTGTTTTTATGGGCTCCCTTTGGAATCTTATGGAACGCAATGGTACTCTGTCGGGAAAGACATCAATGGAAATGAAATTGGCCGGTTCAAAATTATTGCCATTGAAAACCGATTGACAAGGTATTACAGCAGTGAACATTATGTTAAAATGTGAAAACCCAGTGCCATCACCAATAGCTGTGATGTCATTACCCCTATCGACTCTCTCAATGCCAGTAGAATTTGATTTAAATTCATGCCACATTAAGGCAAATATTATGGAAACCAGTCAAACGTATCCCAATCTGCATAATCATTCCCTGAAACGTTGATATCCTTGTCTTCAACACTTTGTTCGGAAACCGCTCAAAATGCATTTAACTATTCTACACTTCCTTTTCTAAGCTATGCATAGAAGTTGTGAACGAACACATTTGTTGTTTGTGGAGAACAATAAAATGTTGCAGCCACAACTAATCCCATTAAACAATCAACTTCCACAATGATAATGATATAATTTTATTTTTTCAATTTCTTTGTTTTCGTATTTTATGTTTATTTTCATTCACTTGTATTTTCTTTATTCATTTTCTACATATCAATTAAGCTTAATTTGTTTGTGTGCTTAATTAGTTTTAAGTTTTTTTTTTTATAATGCCATATGTATGGCTACGATCATGTTATCTTAGTAAACGATAAGCAATTAAGTTTAAACAACATTAGAAATAATATTAAATTTTTAATAACATTTTGTTATTTTAGAAATCTAAATAAAAAATTGGCAAAATTTAAAGAAAAAAGTTTTAAAATTGTAATTATATAAATTATTACCATTAACAAGATGATGTGTTAAAAGAAGTTCAGTTTATCGAAAACCTTAAATTTTTGTTAAGTTTGTGGCCTTGGATTCTTAAAGCCCTCTGTCTAAGAATCGATATAAAATTAATTTCATCCCCACATTTTTTGCACTTTTAAAGCAAGCAATACTGAAATGTGCAATATTATATTATCAATCAGTTTTTTCATCATTACTTGTTTAATTTTGTGCAATCATTTTGTTTGTTTTAGTTTGAAAACAAATACCAGTACCATATATCTGTAAATACATACATATGAAGATATTCTATTTTTAATACATGAAATATACATAAATAAAATAAAAAAATATTGAAAAAAGTTTTAACATTTTTATGATTTATTTCACATAAACAATGAATTTGACTACAAGGCCATTAGTGCAATTCTGTAACTGTTTAAAACGGCATTTACAATATACATTTTTACCGGGATAACCTATTTTCTGAGAATTTATTTGACATATATGTACAATGGAATTGACAATTGAAACCCACTGGGTTAACGAAAACGGATACAATGTAAACGTACTAAAGCGGCAGAATTGCCAGCAATAGTCGATAAATGAAAATGTTCATGAATAGTCGATAAATGAAAATTTCGTCAATTAACGGAAATATTTTTTAAGTTAACGACCAAAAAAGTAATCGTTAAACCCTACCGATTGATAGGAAATTTTTTTCATAATTTATGGTCTGTTCCCGTACTGCAAGAATCTACTCGAATTTAATATTTTCTTCGATAACATAAAGGAAAATTCGTTATCGTAGTAAAAAGTAGTAGATTCTTGCAGTACTGGAACAGACCATTAATGTTTTAAACGAAAATTATTGGTCTGTTCCCGCACTACAAGAATCTGCTATTTTTACTACGATAACACTTTTTTCTTAATGATAACGAAAAAATAGTAACAACTCGTAGATTCTTGCAGTACAGGACCACAACATATTTCGAATAAAACCGCATATTAAAATTTGAAGGTATTCAGATAAAGGTTTGGCAAGAACCATGGCATAACTATACAAGGTAGTCTCATGCAGTCATATGTTTCCAATTTTTCTTAAATTTGCTTTTGACAACATTCAGCTTCCAAAATTTAAACGTAAATTCTTCCTTCAAAATTTACGCAAATCTTGTGTCCTGTGGTAAACTTTTTTGAATCATTTATATTTATTAATATTTTCAGTTAAACATTCTTAGTTAAATCTTGAGAACAATGTGGAGCATTGGAAAAAATATTTTTTTCAATTTGTTTAAAATTTGCCAATATTTATTTTTCATTTTATTTAAAATTGATATATGAATTCCATATTAAGAAGGGTTGCCATTATCAATTTCTCAAATGAGACTACCTTGTATAGTTATAACTGTTTTACGACAGAATTACCGACGATAACCGATAACAGCAAATTTTCCTAAAGTTAGCGACTAAAGCAAGATCTATTAATAAGGTCACCAAGATAGCAATCGAAATCGGTGTTTTTTCTCAAGTCTAATGTCAAAAATTTCGACTTTGTTTACGTTTTCATAATGGAAGTCAATTCACAATAATGCATTTTGACAGCAAACTTGAGAGGTATCGATAATCAGCTGGTCTCCCTTGGTGACCTTATTTATAGGCCATGGACTAAAGTGCAGTAATCGCTAAGCCCTACCGACACATATAAACATATTAACTTTATTTTTTATTTAAAGATGAAAATAAATTTATCAATATTTCTCGGTAGCAGCAGACAATTTTACATGATAACACTATTGTTCACATACGCAAAAAGTGGTAAAATTAAAGGGAAAATCGAAAACAATTTCGATTTAAAGAATATTCCGAAATGCGATATGTATAAGTATATAGTACATGTACATTTTTGACAATTGTTCTATTTTTTTCTGTACTCTAAAACTGAAAGTAAAAAAATCAGAACAATTCATGAAATTTCTGAAATACATCAATTGTTTACTACAATAATCGATTAGTTCATTATCGATTTTCAGATCCCTATTTATTTGCTATTGATTGCCGTATTAAATAACGCCGTTAATCATAATAATAGTTTGACTCCGCTCTCTGATTGTATTTTCCTGAAGAGTTCTGTTTTTTGCAAAATAAATAAATAAAAAATACAATAAAATTGCCAAACAGTAATAAAAAAATACAGATCAATTGAAAAACGCATATTATCAGACAACATAACCATAATTACAATGGACAATATTGCAAGAATAATCACAGTAGAAAAAATTTTCGAATAGAGAAAAAAATTGTGTGTTTGGTAGAAGAAAGAGCACAGGAGCAAAACGACGAGATAGAGGCATACGTCAAACGGAGATTGTTAACAGCTAGCAGACAGGCAGCAGCAGAAGAATCCTGTGAGCAAGAAAAATCGTCACTTGCAGAGGAATTCACATCATTTGTTCGAACACCAGATTCGTCTGGATTAAAGAAAATCAAAATTGGCAAATATTGAAGAATTCCAGCAACAGGACACCAACAATAACGGCGTCATGTGGGACTCCTCGTCGATGTTCCTTAGTACTTTGACGCCAAAATTTTATGTCGCATTAACGGGGACTTCCAGTCTAATATCTGGCCTTATCTTGATATTTGAATGGTGGTATTTTCGTAAATATGGCACATCCTTTATAGGTGAGTGAAAATCAAAAGGAGATAAGGAAATTGCTTTCGTGGCAGAATACTTTTATTAGATCAAATCCCGTCAGAAAAAAAAAAAACAAAAAAAAATGATTTATTTTCGATATGAAACTACATTTCAATTTAAAACTAACTCCATATGATGAAATAAATTCAATAGTGAATGTTTTAAGTACCTGTTTTATGCTATTACATTATTTATTCCACATGGTAATAATTGGTATACTCTTTTTTTATTTCATTCCATAAGAACAAGTTTCCATAAACCACATCAGTCCATGGATTAATGGCAGCGATTCCAATTCCGAATCAAGTGGCAATGGCAGCAGTGGTAACGGCAGTTCCAGCAATGGTGGAACTTCTACCAATGGTATTAATGGAAGTGCTGGTAATGGCACTACTTCAGGCAGTGGCCAACAAATGCCCGAATGTAAGGTATGGCGCAATCCGTTGAATTTGTTTCGTGGAGCCGAATATCAGCGTTTCTTCTGGGCCACAAGCAAAGAACCTCTCACTTACTATGATATGAATTTATCGGCACAAGATCATCAAACCTTCTTTACATGTGAGGGTGATGCCCGCAAAGAAGAATATGAAATAATGCAAACAGCATGGCGTGAACGCAATCCGGTGCAGCGTATCAAATCAGCTCACAATGCAATCGAAATTAATCCAGATTGTGCTCCTGCTTATATCCTTTTAGCCGAGGAAGAAGCTACAACCATTGTGGAAGCAGAACGAATTTTACGCACAGCTCTAAAGGTGGCCGAACAAAATTATCGCAAATCACAAGCCACACAACATCAGGGATCCATCGCCGAGGGCATACATCGTCGTGATACAAATGTACTAATCTATATAAGGCGAAGATTGGCCATGTGTGCCCGCAAATTGGGCAAGCTCAAGGAAGCTGCTAAAATGTTTCGTGATCTAACAAAAGAAATTCCTTCAATTATGAATGTTTTAAACATCCACGAGAATCTCATTGAAACTTTACTGGAGATGCAGGCGTATGCTGATTGCCAAGCAGTTTTAGCCAAATACGATGACATTTCCTTGCCCAAGTCGGCTACTATTTGCTATACAGCGGCATTGCTAAAGGCTAGAGCAGTTGCTGACAAATTTTCGCCCGACATAGCCTCGAAACGGGGTCTCAGCCCGGCCGAAATGTGTGCAGTGGAGGCCATCCATAGAGCTGTGGAATTTAATCCGCATGTGCCGAAGTATTTGCTAGAAACAAAGCCACTCATTCTGCCTCCGGAGCATATCTTAAAGCGTGGAGATTCAGAAGCCTTGGCCTATGCTTTCTTTCACCTGAAACACTGGAAAAATATTGAGGGCGCATTGAACTTGCTGCACTGCACCTGGGAGGGTACATTCCGTATGTTGCCGTATCCTTTGGAACGAGGCCATCTATTCTATCCATATCCCACATGTACAGAATGTGCTGATCGCGAGCTGTTGCCGGCATTCCATGAAGTTTCCGTCTACCCCAAAAAGGAATTGCCCTTCTTCATACTGTTCACAGCGGGGCTGTGTTCCTTTACGGCATTGTTGGCTCTCTTGACACATCAATATCCTGAACCAATGGGTTTGTTGGCGCAAACTGTACTTACCTGGATATCGTATCCATTTCAATTGCTCAAGGAACGTATTGAAGCATTTTGGCCTTGCAACCTCTTGCAGCATATATCAAGAGTCTAAGAACACCATACAAGCCCGTTTCCTTCTAACCGAAAAGCACATAACAACCCGAAACGCCGTATTCATGTACATCACCGAAAAGAAATCCACAATTAATGCTCTGTGTTGTCACACATACGCACGCAACAACCAGCACATTTGTTCTCGCACAAAATCTTGTTGCAAAATGCTGGCACGTCTACAATATTGGTAGAAGTCGGTTGTTTCAGCTACGTTTTATTCTAATTCAGTTATTATTTACCGTTATTAGTTATTCTCTTTAAGGCTCGCTCCCCACGTGTTCCATTTACTTTTAAATCAGTGCAGCATCATCATCCAACTCAGACAAAATTGATTTGTTTTTTTATTATTTACAAAAAAATATCTGAGTTTATTTTTTATTTATTGAAGAATACAACAGAGAGAGAAAAAAGTATGAATCATTTTTTTATTTATTGTTTTGTTATAATGCAAAAATATTATATTATTATTTTTATTAATTCCAAAACCAATTGAAATATATGCTCCCCCAAAATTGTAAAACATAAGATGAACACAATCTTAAAAAAAGATCCATTACAAAAAATTGAAAAAATATATATTGTATTTATAAACAAAAATTAATATAAAAAGAAACAAATATTCTCAAAATAAATTTACTAAAAATTCTTATTAAACTTATTTTGAAGAAGAAAACATGAAAATAGATGTATTATTTTTTTAAATGTAGATTTTAAGTAACATTGGAGAAGATTAGGGAAAAATCAATTGTCTATAGTTTGAGGATGGGGTGTACTTCACTATTCCTTCTATGAAAGTGGCTTGAGGTTTTCCCTAAAATCTTTAAATACTGAGATACCATCATGTTGTCGCTATACCTTACCAACGACCAATATTTGGTCTGTTCCCATACTGCAAGAATCTACTACTTTTACTACGATAACTAATTTTCCTTTATGTTATCAAAGAAAATAGTAAAGTCTAGTAGATTCTTGCAGTATGGGAACAGACCAATTGATAACTATAGGTAGGGAAATTTGCGTCCAATCAAATATAAAAAATACTTAAAGTTAGAGGATGTAATGTTACATGGATGTTGCATGAATGATACATTTTAGAATAAATATCAAAACATTGTAGATGGGAGTACATGTCCACACTTTCAGTTACCATCAGCACAAATGCTAGAAAAACATGGCTCATATGAATGGAACAATAACACGACAACTAAACTAAAAGTGGAATTATTTTAAATATTCAAAGCCATTTGTGAACCAAAAATCTATGGGAAATTGTGAAAGAAATTCACAAATAAGTCCTGTGCGTGTTCCTAATGACAATTTAATATAAACGGGTCTTATTTTCGAAACGCTAGCACTTCAAATATCCGAAAGCAAAAAGTTCCCCTAAAAATAAGTCGTGTAAGAATCAATAATCGATTATTTTGGTTGAACATCTCACATACTGTAAAATTTTATATTCTTAGCCTTATAGTTAATATTATGAAAAATCGTGCCTCATCGAAATATTGGTTTTAGACCCCATGTTACTTTAGACCAAAACCGTTTCAAGCTATTTGAAGTCTATTTACAAATGTCCGCCAGTCCGACTAACATCTTTTCACTTGTTTGTTTACGTTTCCATACGATTAATTCAAAATTAAAAACATTTTTGTAGCTCGCATGAAATTATCTGGTCTTATCGACTGGTGTTATAATTGGGCCATGATTTTTAACAGAAACAGTGGTAAAAATTTCGAAATTTTTCTGCATTCCTGCGCATTGCCCGTTGAAGAAACAAAATCGATTTCCATGTTATCGATTGTTATAGATATGTGACGTTTCACAATACAATACAAAACTGTGTGTGTGTATTAAACAAGGCTTCTTTCATGTCTCCTTCTAAACAATGCTCTATATCGGTCATTTTGCTTTAAGCCCGTTTTTTATTATTATGTATTCTCTCTCCTATTCGTAGCAGGTGGGACGTTTTTAATTTCAATTGGATGGCAATACAACGCTGTGGTGTATTAAACTAGGCTTCATTCATAATTTCTCTTTATTGATTCTCGGATCGAGTTGTGTTTATTGTTGCTGATGTAAGTTTTCTCATCAAAAGTTAAAGAAATTTCAACTAGAAAACGTATTCTCTGAAATAATAGTTATACCAAAATAACACTAAGAATACTGTAAGTATAAATTGTACATAATAAATATTCAATTAATAGAAATATTATTAAATATTTTCAATACAAATATTAAGCCACACCCTAATCACAAACTTTTGGTACCACCAAGCTTGGGGAGTGTCTCAATGTTTTCATTTCAATATTAATTAACAATGTGACACACCACAAGCCATGAGTAAAATGTGTTTTTGGTGGTGTATTCAATATTTCAAATTATCTACTTTAACATTTTTATCTAATTGGATTTTTTCTTTTATTTTTTTCGAATTTCTGTATTTTTGTAGGTCCACAAAATAACTAAAATCTGTCATATCGAAATATTCTGATTCGAATTGTTGTCGTTGAATTCCAAATGCACCACCAATACATGCATACACACAATTTTACCTTTACATTGGAACTGCCTATGAATTTATCAGAACATTAAGGCAACACCACCGCTATTGCTGTTGAAGTCAAGTGATTTTCATTTTTCCCATTTACTTCTACAGCTTCTTCTTAAGCCTACCTTTTGGCTTCTGTCACTGGGGTGTGAGTGTGTACTACGTCACGGACTATGTCAACAATCGACGAACGCGAAGCTTACAAAAATAATCCCTATTTTACTGGACACATTTATGGAAATTTCTCACCGTTTTATGTTACAATAGCAGTCTGTACCGTTCTTCTAAGTGCAATCATTTTAATTAATGTAATACTGGGTTGCTGTTCAAAGCATCGTAAATATTGGCAGGATAGACACACGGGCAATCGTTGGCTAGTATCAATTTGGTCGGCAACGCCACATAAGCAACCACCATTGGATTTAACTGAATTGAAAGACGCATCATATTTCCAGAAGTTGCAGGTTAGTAAAAAAATGTGAAGGCATAAATCGTCATAGCTATATATTCCAAAATAATAGGGCTACCCAAGGTATGTTCATCCAAAATAGATATTCCAATATGTAAAACAGATCTCTGAAGAGATGAAGATACTATTCTAAATTGGATTAGGCATATCAAATAGAGCTGTGAGACAGATATGTACGGAATATGAAAATTAGATACCTGATATGTAAAATAATGTTCTGAAAGTTATTATTGGATTATGTATGTAAAATAGAGCAGTATATAAATTAGAACTCTGCAACTGGATACATGTATGTATTGTGTTTTATCTACTCGATTTTACTATTTTCTTCTTAATTGAAATATCATAAAGGAAAATTTGTTATTTAAAAAGTAGTCTCTTCTTGAAGGTTTTATAAGCAGGGAAAGTTCTGAAAGTTATTATTGGATTATGTATTTAAAATAGAGCAGTATATAAATTCAAGCTCTGTAACTGGATACGGATGTTGAGCATATATATATATAAATATATATATTTATATATATTTGAATATAATATATAGTATTATATCCTCACAAGAACTGATAAAAAATTTTACTTTTTGGAGAAGAAACTTTTTTTGATAGGAAAACAACGATTAAAATTAATTAAAATATGCATTTTGAAGATTGAGGGGGTAATTTAATAGAGGAGGTCTCTTCTCTGAAGGTGTTATGGAAGACTATAATGTGTTTGAGGCTTGAAGGCCTTCTGGAGGATCAGAAGGTCTCCGAAAAGTTCAGAAGTCTTAGAAAAGTCCAAAGTTGGACCCAAGAAGAACCTTGTAGAACTTTTTTATAGATTAGAATGTATTTTATAAGGTTTGTGTGGCCACAATTCTATAAAATAAAGTTTTATAAAAGGTCTGAGATATTATAGAAGCCATGAAGGTCTCAAACTGGAATGTGTTAAAACTAGATGTGATATAGAATAGCCTTCAAAGTTTAATATTAGCCCTAGAAGGACTATTTGAAGCCCAGACGGTCTAAAAGTTTTTATATGAAGAACCGAAGGATATATGGTAGAACTAAAAAGTCTTACAGAATATATTATAGAAGCCATGAAGGTCTCAAACTGGAATGTTTTAGAACCACATGTGTTATAGAATAGCATTCAAAGTTTAATATAAGCCCTAAAAGGGCTATTTGTAGCCCAGAAGGTCCAATAGAGGTCTAAAAGTTTTTATAGGATACCAGCAGATCCCATAGAAGAACATAACGTCTTATAGATAACAGACGTTTTTATCAAAGAACCAAAGGAAGTATGTAAGAACTAAAAAGTCTTACAGAAGACTGCCTTGCAGAAGAACAAACGGCCTTAAAGAACACCACCATGTTTGTAGGATATCACAATGTTTTATAGAAGTCTAGCCGATCTTACAGACAACATGTGTGAAAAGTAACAGATCACAAATTACCAAAATTTCTTCTGTTGTTCAAGAGCTACCAAATTCCACACCACAATATTAATAATCGGAAATAAACCACAAACATGAAGATATGTGTCAAATACAAATTGGAAAATACACGATTATCGAACTATTTTTTTCGTAATACATAATTCTTTTTTTTTTAAATTGAAAAATATTTTTTTTTTAGTCACTGATGTAGTTCGTAAAGAATTGTCGACGTTTTTCCTTTTTAATAATTTTGTGTAAACATATTTTTTATTTTAATTTTTATAAAAATATAATTTTTATTATTTGTTCAGTTATACCAAATCAAATGTTAATATTTATATATTCGAAATTGCTGAACATTTTAAATATTCTAACCTCGTTTTTGTAGCCTGCTCAGCGTATTTTCCCCGAAGATATTGAAGCTCAAGGAGAAGAAGTACCAATACAACAATATCAACAGCAACAACACCAAAGTCGACCCCCACGTCCTGAAGGTCGAGGTTTTCACCAACAGCAAAGACATCGTGAAGAGTACGTTGAGTTACAAACGAAACGTGAAAGCGATATCTAATTTATAGGAAGCTAATACAAATATATCTACATATCAGCGCAGCTAACACCAAGACTACAAGAAAATGGCATTTATTATTTTGTATCCAGCTGTTGCAGCATTAGCTCTCTTTATTGTCGGCGTCATAATAATAATGTTACGTTTTGGTCCACGTCTCTGTGGCCTACGTCATCATGCTTTACCCGATCGTGAAGATTATCAAGATCGGGCCTATGAACATGAAATTAGTTATGCCTGATGATATTAAGGAGGCGAATTTTATTTAAATATAGATTTATAAAAATGTTTTACATTCCATATTGTAGTTCAAAACGGTCTTCATTTGCCACAATTTTAATTCTTGTTTTGAGTGCCTTAATATAAATTCCATTCTTTTTTCTTTGTAATGTTTTCTTATATATATTTCTCAACTTGAACTGAAAACATCATGTTAGAAACCATTTCCGTCCAACTTTTATAAGAATCTCCTCTATTTTGAGAGACTTCTTCTATACGTCGTAGTAGTCCCTAAGCTAACAAAACACATCGATTTACAAACTATTTTATATGCAATTTACAAATTTTACATTTATATATTACTAACCTTTATATAATGCATTCTTTGTATTATCAATTTTATAAATTCGTATTTAATATACGAAAATAAAGTATTTAAAAAAATAAACCGACAGAGCGTGAATAATTTATTTGAGGTTTTAAGAATTTTTTACATCAACACTTATGAACTTTCTTAAAATTTTTACATAAGCCTATGCTTACAGACACTGAGAAATAAACATTTTTGAAAAATATGTGGTTATTAATATTCTTCAAAATATATTCTTTTAACATTAATATTATTTTCTAAAAAATCTACTCTTATGAACATTATTGTCATAATTAAAATGAATATTTAAATACATTTGTAAACACCAGTATTGCTGCAAATAAAGTAAAACAATATTTTCTTAACATTTCAAAAAAGCCACAATCGCTCATAATCCAATCTATACAGTTTAGCTTAGAGCAATGAATCCGATGACTAATACTATAAGAATCTATTGTGAAAACAATATAATTGTTAATTTTATAGGATTCCAATACTTCCACATTTTAATGTCCCTAACTCCAATTCTTATGCAAAATAGTCGATCAATTTTTTTTTAATTCCAGTTTCTCTCTTATTGCGTGTTTATGTATATATATATATATATACAGTAAGAAAAGCATATAATATATAAACATGCATGAGGTTAGGAATTACAAAAAACAGAAAAATATTAAACAAATACCAGGATAGATGTATAATACATATGCACAATCGTCAGTCCCGTCTGACTGATACCTTCTAATTAGATTGATTTGTCTACCCATTGTTATTTTTTTTCTGTAGAAAATCCTACCACTATAGTTCATTCATTTTCCTCACTTACCTATTAATAGCACCAAAACTATTGCGAATACAATGGCAATAATAACTTTGGTCTTCATGCGAGACCACCACATTTTCCGTCTCAATGTAACACCATTTGTTTTAAATGTGTCAGCTTGGGTTTTTATGGCATCGGCAGTGTCGCTCAAATGTTCGAGTTTTTCTTGGCGGTCGATAACCTTATTGATATTGTCCGTAATTATTTCCAGGATTTCATTGGCTTGTTTTTGGGTCTGCTTCAGTAGTTCCGGTGATTGGTTTCTGAAAATATATGTAAATAAAGAAGACACAATAAAATAGGTTCACATACATGTACGTTAGGGCGGGCCAAAATTTTTGTCGAATAAAACCGAATTTTGAATCAATTTTGAATTTTGATGGGAGAATCGAAAATCGAGATAGACCTATGGTTCCTTCAGCAAAGTTGCTTAGAATTGTCCATAGAATCATCCTAGGGACTGGATTTAATCGAATTTTTCGGCTCCATACAAACTGACAGACCGCCCTAATGTACATTATCAAAAACCACAACTTACTCAGCCTCATTGGAAATATTTTTGTTGAGTTTTGTATCTGTTGCCATTTTCTTTTTTTTTGTTCAGGTTTCCGTTTTCCTAGTATATTTTCTTTATGCTGTTATATTTATTGTTTACCGAATTAAATACCGAACATAGAATTTTCTTTAAATTTTTGTTTATATATAAATGTCCCTACCAATATGATAGACTAATTTAGGAGTAAACCACAAATGGAGCAGTTTTTTATGAAACGTTGTTACTCGGATAACTGATGTCTTTATACTGAGATTAAATAAATAAGTATTTTCACAATTGGAAAAACAGCGTTCTTCTGGTGTAAATACAAAATTGTTCTTTTATTACTTTCTTAGCAAGTGCGGTTTTTTCACTTAATATAAAAATTATTTATACTCCGTCTTAAACTTATGCATCAACATTCAAATTAATATAAAGTATCAATTGTAATAAAGTTATATATAAGACACGCAGTACCGAATTTCCCTATAAGACATTTGACGATTATATTTCAACTTGTTAGGTTTTGAGATTTCCAACATTTGAGCAGGTTTTGAGAAAAGGACCAACATGTCTATTGAAGACCAGAAAGTCTTTTTATAATATCTCAAAGTTTTAGTTAAGACATTAACCCTTTGAACCCCGATTTTTTTCCGCAATCTTAGAACAAATTTCTGTTCACAGATTTAATGCAACTATCCTAAATAGGATATGCACAAACTTTGACATAACTACATCTTTGCATTCGTGAGATACATTACATTCTTTCGGAAAAATTTAAGTCCAATATCAAGAAAATGCAAAATCGTCAGATAAATAATTTTAAATTATTTTCAATATTAATTTTTACAAGAATCCAAAATAATTCTGATGGCCGAATTCGTACAATTCGAATACGAAGCGATTTAAATCATTTGGACTGTATACACAAATTAGTACTGTACACAAATGTACCCTCTTCTCTGTATTGAAATGCTAAAAGCTTTGCCAAATTTTGAATTTAATCAGGTCTTGACATATGAAATCCAAATAATATATATCTACTTTTGATGAAGATAAGACTAAGAAGTCTCTCTGCTCATCAGGAATCACCAGTCGAATCGTCGCTTGACGATACTTCGGTATTGTCTATGATGGCTCCTATCTAGCCTTACCACTTGATTCGACCTTCAGTCTTCTCTTCGCATTTTTTAAATTCTTTTAGGAACATCAATTTAATACTCTATACGCTTCCTGCCTACAACGTATTCAGTGATACTCGGCAAGAGGTGTACTGTGTGGTTAACCTTAGGCGCCTCTATAGGGCTCGACCGTATACGAGGTGGGAAATCTTTCGAATAGGAGTTCCCTTGACACCTTATACGTATAGCCTCTTTCGTACTTGCTCAATACCTTAAGGATTTACCTATTTCAAACGGCATGTACATTAGCATGGTATAATAATAGAAGGTAACAGCAAGTGTTGTTGTACAAAAAACGATACAACAACCACATGGAAATTTGTTGTTGTAAGTTCTACTAGTGTCAACTCATTTGACAGAAAAATGTAAACAAACAAACAAATTATCATCAAATTATTTTTATTTTGAAAATGAAATATTTTCGAATCCTCAAAATAAAAATTGAAAAACATGAATGAAAATCTATCAAATTTATATTTCTATCGCTTCCACACCTTTCCTATAATTGAGCCATTGCTATATATATGTGTAACTCATATGAAAATGCTGGGAATAGCGAGTTATTCCTTGAAGAAAGATTTGCTTCCTCAAACTTTCCCAGCAGGCAGATTGAGTAAATTGAATACGGGAGCACATTTAATAAAAAACAATTTCAAATTGTATGCGTTCCCAATTTTCCTGTTGGGTGATTTTTAAAAACATAATTTGTCAAATTCATATCGACACTAGTATTACGTTGGAATCAAATCAGCTGGGATTTGCTGTTACCTTTTATAATTGTACCATGGTACATTAGAAATTTTTACAGGGTTAACATACTTTATGAGGATTTATTTGACATATATGCAAAGGAATTGACAATTGAAACCCACTAGGTTAACGAAATCCGGTTAAATGTAAACGTACTATCAATAGGAATTTCTTATAGGCCATACGTTGATAATGACATCGATACGCTTTCCTGTCCTGTGCTTCTTGCAATTCGGAAGTGGGGTCTCCAATGTAACTTTGGAGCTTCCACTTCCTTTTTTCATAGCAGCTGTCCTCCTCTGAAGGTAATGGATCCACTGAGATAATGGATTATATGAAAATCCATAAAAAAAATTTGAAAAATATACGAACGGAAAATTTTCTGAAAAATTGATTTAGTAATTTGGAAAATATAGGTGTTATTATATGTATATATTTATTTTTTAAGAACATATTTCTTATAACTTCTACATACATATATACTATTAAACTTTAACTTCTAAGGAATGTCTAATACTAAATAAATATTGCCAAAGTTTGGGCGGCCAGGTTAATAGAATTTCTTAATAATTATTGTTATAATTAAAAATAAATATTTAAATACATTTGTAGTTTATTGAAGCCAGTTTAAATGTATTCGATTCAATATACATAATTAGGGAGATTTAGATTTCCATCGCTAAGAACCGCTAAATGATGACACCAGTGTTGCTGTAAATAAATAAAGTAAAGAAGAGAATTATTTTATTATCATAAAAAACAAATTTGAACTGTTTAACAAAATTGAAATTCCCTATTGCGATTTCTAAATAGACAATTAAAAACGATCTTAAGTTCGGCCCTCACGAACTTTTATGCCATCCACCAGGATGACAATCAAAATATCTAAAATTAATGGGGTCTCCCAGGAGAAAACTCATGTTATGATAGGACATTGAACAGGCCGTAAAATTCCGTTATATGGTGGCTACCCTGCAATTCAACTCAATTTTAATAATTTTTGGTACGGAAATATGTTATACCATGAGAACACAAAATGCAAAATTACAGCCTATTTGGTTGGGAAACGTGTACAAAATCCCCAAAAATACCGAATTTGGGGGGGGTGTACCGTTATATGGGATGTTAGTCAAATATGCACCGTTTTGTTGTATGATTTGTAGCCATTTTAAGGGTAACCCTATAATGGCTCTCTCATAGAAGTCCTGCTCTCTATTTGCGAAAAAAAAATGAATAGTCGATTTCCATTTCCTCCCTAGATACCAAGTTTTCAGTGTAGATGTGTGTGTGACCTAGCGTTGTCCTGGTGAACATAACACCTCTCCTGTTGGTCAATTCTGGCCGTTTCTGGTCAATTGCTATCTTCAAACGG